GCATGGGGCACGGTCGGGCGTGACATCGAGCGCCTGTTCGCTGCCGTCTACGACGGGTCGGCTCGGCTTGACAGTATCAACAGGGCGTTCATCACCCTGCTCCCGAAGAGCGAGGGGGTGCCGATGCCGGGCGGGTTCCGCCCCGTCTCTTTGCAAAACGCCGATATCAAGATCTTGTGCCGCGGCCTCACCACTAGGCTGCAGAGGCAGATCGGCTTGTTGATCGACGAGGACCAGTCCGGGTTCATCCCAGGGTGAAGCATCGCCGAAAACTTTGTCTACGCGGTGGAGATGGTGCAGTGCTGCTACAAGCGTGCTGCCCCCTCCATCGTCTTCAAGTTAGACTTCTCCAAAGTCTTCGACTGCATCAACTGGGAGAGCCTGTGTGTGATCACGCTGGCTAGGGGTTTCCCTGAGCTTTGGTGTGATTGGATGGACTTGATCCTTCGCTCCTCGCGCTCCGCGGTCCTGCTCAACGGCGTCCTGGGGAAGTGGTTTCCCCTTTGCTGCGGGCTGCGGCAAGGGAATCCCATCTCCCCCTACCTCTTGCTCCTCGTCGCCGACGTGCTCCAGAGGCTGATCCGCCGGGACGACCTGCTGCGTCACCTGCTGCTTGACGGGGAGCCGCCGTTGGTGTTGCAGTATGCGGACGACACGCTCATCATCATGCGTGTGTGTCCGCCTGCGGCGGTCCGGCTACGCTTGATCCTTGACGAGGCTGACACCCTAGCCGCGATTGTTGCGGTAATGGGGTGCCGGGTGGAGGGGTTCCCGCAGACATACCTGGGGCTCCCGCTGTCATGCCACAAGCTCTCTCTGGCGGATTTCCACTTCATCATCGCCAAAGTCGACCGGTACCTTGCTGGCTGGTGTGCCCGTCTCCTCCTAACCTATGCCATGGGCGCGCTCAAGCTGCCTCCCAAGGTGATGCGCGCGCTGGACTCCCTCCGCCGCTCATTCCTCTGGAACGCGGCATAGCAAGCTTTCGGTGCGCAGTGTCTCGTTGCCTGGGAGTTGGTGTGCCGCGGCAAGGAGGAGGGAGGCCTGGGGGTCCGTGACCTCGCCACACAGAATGACGCCCTCCTTCTGAAGATCCTGCACCGACTCCACTCTGTCCCTTTGTCTCGCTGGGCGACCTGGGTTTGGGGCGCCCTGGGGGGCGTCTCCTTCTAGACCCTCGTAGGTCGGGGCTCGTCGGCGAGCACTGGGTTGCGCTTCGGGGGCTTATGCCTGTCTACCGCGCTCTCTCCCGCGTCTCCTTGGGGGATGGCAGGATGACGGCCTTCTGGGAGGATCATTGGCTCCCCTGCGGGCCCGTACGGTGCGTCTTCCCGGCCCTGGCTTCACATGCGATGTGCTCGGAGGTCTCGGTCTGGGTTGTCCGCAACCTGGGGCTAGACGCGGTGCTTGTGCCACGGCTGACCACTGCTGCAGCCCGGGAACGCCTCCTCTTGCTCCCGCTCATCGGGCGGGCGGGAGAGGGCGAGGGCGAAGCTGACGATCGCAGCCTGATCCTTTGCGATCAGAAGGGCGGGCGGCTGGCGTCGAGCGCAGCCTACGGGCTCTTCCGCCTGCGCGGAGAGGTGGTGGAGAACGCCGCCTTTCTCTGGAGATCGCCAGCGCCTTCCAGGGTTCGGTTCTTCGCCTGGCTGCTGACGCTCGGCCGTATCCACACTTGGGACAATCTGCTGAAGAAACACGTCGTCGAGCTGCGGGGCGCTGGGTGCCCGGAGTGCGGGGCGAGCCTGAAGACGCCTGATCACTTGATCTTCGGTTGCCCCATCGCGAGTGCGTTTTGGTGCTCTCTGCGCCTCTCCACCTCGAGGGCCTCTGTGCGTGCTCTGCATCTCTTCGACGCCTTCGCGGCTGTCGACTCTGCCTCGCCACAGGCGTTCGTACAGCTGTGCTGCTGGCACCTCTGGAAGCGGCGGAACGCGGTTGTGTTCAGACAGGAAACGCCGTCCCTGACCGCCACTTTGAAAGCCTGTCGCGACGACGCCATCCTCTGGCGCGGTCGGTTCCGTTTTGCGGATAGTGGTCATGTTGATACATGGCTGCTGGCCCTGCGTGGATAGATCAAACTGCATGTAATATAGCAAAGGGGTCTGCCCCCTCCCTCTTTCTCTCTGCCACCCCGGCTTCTATACCAATTGTACTG